CACCACATTCACATCTGTTGTATATCCCTCCTCAGTTCATCAGCCAGTGACTGCTGGCCCAGTTCCTATAATTCACACCTTAGGCCAACCTGAAACAACATCTGAATCTAGTATTTAGTATTAACACTAGGTTCAACAAAATAGCCTTGTGACTAGGAAATCTTATACCAAGAAAACTAAAGCATAGCTTACTTTGTTACATACTTACTTTGTAAATTTGCCAATGACACAGCACTGTGGGAAAACTAATCACCCCATAGTTATGTCCAATGTCCACAGTACAAACATAACATATCCCCATAAGTACTGTAAAAAATACAAATAATTTAGATTATATGCAAGAGAAAACTAATCACTGCAAATAGATTTATTGCAATTTAAGTAAAGAAATCCAACCAAACATAAGAGCATTTTACAATACATAAACCTCAGCAGCACACAGAGTACACAATCGAATGTGAAAAAGTAATACTGAATGATCCTAAACACACTTTATCATCCATAACACAAAGCAGTCAGAACTCCCAACACAGTTTATGGTATGCATTGCATGGTTTAACCTCCCAACAATTTAGTGTACAGAAGGTAATGCACATTTTGACTAGACAACAATTTACAGAACACATTACACAGCTGGATCACCAAACACAGTCTGGTGTAGGGAACACTGCACAGTTTGACCAGTGTAGTGTAGAAGGCAAAGCACTGTTTCACATCCCATGAACACAGATTATCAGTGAGAAAGCAGTGCACAAGCTGCTCGCTCCAAACACATGCAAGCACATGCAGCCAATATAACACCAATGATTAACCGGGATATCCATTCAGTTTGTTGTAGAAAAGTCATGACAGAATGATCCTGGAAACACACAAATTTGTCCCCACTCTAACTCGTGGCAGTTCTTCTTCTGAAGCCAGTCTATGAAGCACACTTAAGAACAACAATAACAAGTATAGAAAAATGTAAGCACTATCATTAAAAGATATTAGCAAGTTAGACAAATGACATCACATTAGATGTTGTGGTAAAACACATCATCTTGGTTTCTAGAAAAAAAAATCTCAAAACAGAAAAAAGAGGTTTGGTAATGTTTTGCAAAATATTTTGCCATCTCTTGGGTTGGGTTAGGGTTAAAATTTAGATGGTACTGCAGTAGATTAGAATTGTTTTTGCAATCATTGAACAGTGATCACTGCACACATAGATTTCAGGTGATAGTTATAATGTGGCAATGACTGATTATTTTACAGTAACTGAACTTAACCTCACAGAAAAGTAATCAGGTATTTACTCCCATAAATACACACAAAACTGAGGAAATAAAACAACAGAATATTACAAAAAACAATAATAAAGGGCAGGGTGATTTTTGGGTGGGTTCTTTAGAGCTGCTCTAGTGGGTGAAACATCCTAGGGAAAGTAAACATCTCAGACACCACTTAAGGTGGAACAGAATTTAAGATGGAATGGAAAATTTCACGTACGAAGCTTGAGGCGCGAGGCCGTAACTGCTCATCATTTAAGGTTGAACAGAAAACAAATACGAATGAAACTAAAGCCTCGTAAGAAGAGTAAAGCGTTTTCGCGGGAATACAGATGTTTACTTCCTGTAAGATGTTCCACCCTTTAGCTCAGTGAAGGAGAGATAGAGTTAAACTACCGTTAAGTCTCTTTATTCTCCGCTCTTCCTCAGCGCTTCTACAAACGGAGACTGATCTCAGATTTCTGTGGGAAATTAAACAACCACTAAACGACGCTCACGGCGCGCGCAGAGATCAAGGCCTTATAGCGCGCGCAGTCAGCCTGATTTTCCCGCTTTCCGCTTCAGTGTTGCAAACCGCGCCAAATTTATCAGAAGAAAAAACAAGCGCCGAGCTTAAGTTTGGTTTCTTTTTCCAGATTTCCGTTCCACCTTAACTAGAGCAGCAGATTCTGGTGCCTCGGGCTCCGTTTAAGGTGCGACAGAATTGAAGGTGGAATGGAAAATTTCACATAAGAAGCCTGAGGTGCTACAATGTAACTGCTGCTTGAGGCGCGAAGCTGTAACTGTTGACCATTTAAGGTGCAATGAAAAATTCAAAAAGAAATTTAAATGAAGCCTCGTAAGAAGAGTTTTCGCGGGAAACTCAGGGTGACGACGCGCGCTTTAATTTGAAAGCTTTAATCTGCGCGCGCTGTTGAGTGTAGTTTAGTGATTAATTAATTTCCCACAGACGTCAGACATGGATCTCCTTTTGTAGAAGAGCAGAATTAAAACACTGCGGCAGTTTATCTCTCTTCTCCACTGAGCTGAGAAGCAGAACTCTCAGAGAACCGTCCTCACTGTTCTGCTGAACATCACAGCTCGGTTCTGCACTGATATTGTTCAGAGAACCCAGCAGACTTAAAGTGAAGGTCAGTTAGTTACAGAGAGCGGCAGCGCACGTCTTACCTACTGAACGTCCAACAGAAATCAGTGGAACGCCGTCCCTCCACATCTGTATATGTACAGTTTCCAGCTTCCCATAATGCACTACTACTGCACCACGTGTTTTGTTAAAACGCTACTTTTTAGATGTATATTTTAATTTTATTTAATATTCTATTGTATGTAATGCCTTACTTTTTTGCGGGGTGGATTATTTGCAAACAGTTTCTGCTACTCAAAAAAAAAAACAGCATTTCTTTTCCAGCTGTTCATTCCAGCTGTGGAAAGGCTTAAATAATATAATATAAACTTGTTTGAGGGCGGAGCGTATTTCAAAGTAGGTGGGTCTGTGTGTTTGAGCTGAACACCTGCCCATCCTTGCAGGTGATGATACTAAACGTTTATAATATTAAATTTAAATGTATAAATGCAAGTTTCTACGAAAAAAAATCTAGTAGGTTAGGTTTTCACAGCATTTCAGGTAAATACAGACAATTTTTCTGCTAACAAAGAAAAAAATCCATCAACTACTGTTTTGCACATATTTTTGATGTGACACAGTTGAGCTGTGCAGTGCAAGAGGAGACCCTATCTCACCTCTTCTTCACCATCTAAACATTCTTCTCTCTTGGTAGAGCAGTTTTACAGTCCTCTGCCAGCTGAACATGACTGTAGCTCTATCAGTTGGCAGAGCAGGCAGTGACCCGTTTAATGAAGGCTGAAGTCACCAAACCGCAACGAGCGAACAGTGATGTGATGTTTGATATCGAGGCATCAAAGCCTGCTGATTCATCATAGTGAATCAAAGCTTGTATCAAAGTTACTGTTATCACATTACTACGAAGTCTTGAGCTTCGTAAAACTTTAACCCTCTGGGTCACAAACTTGCCTGTGTGTCAAATTAAATGTCTCTCTATATGTTTCTCTATCTTTGTGATAATACAGGACAGAAATACAG